AGAACAGTCACCAGAGGAGGATGAATGATCACATGCCTTTTAGACGAAGTTGTTAGGAGGGGTGTCTAGATTGAAATGGACAAAGTTCCAATGGCCTAATAATCTGCTGAAGAATTCCAAATTTGGATGAAAGCTTAGGCGTTCCAGATTTGTGAGAATGAGTTGTAAACATTTGCCTCTCAGTCAAAATCTTCCTCAAAACATGAATCTTGAAGCCCAAAATTACTCTGCTGAAACCCAGTTGGGCCGACTTTAGTATGTGTCCCTGACTGGAACATCTGAACTTTGTGAGTGCAATTTAATGAACCAATGTTTGTCAAGTACATCCTGGAAATGGATTCAGATTGTGAATTGAGGAATTTCTACTCTGATGTTTTGGAAAGTAGCATCCCGACATGGCCCTTTATTTAATAACTATTTATTGAACAGTCATTCATTCAACAAATATTAATCGAGTGCCTAAAACACACCAGGCATGCTATACTAGGTGGTGGGGATAAAACAATGTCATGTTCTTGGTGGAGAAAATGCTATAGAGAGAGAAGGATTAGGCGATAGTAAGGGCTGGGCCAGGGGGAGGGGTTGCTATTTTATTGAGGGTGGTTAGAGAAGCTTCTGTGATGAGGTGACATTTGAGCAGAGACCTGAAGAAAGAGGGATGAGCCATGTAGATATTTGGGGGAAGAGCATTCCTGGCAGAACAGCAAGGATATCTGTGGTTTGAAGCAGGTGAACCCCCAAAAGCATGGGTCAGGGCAGATATGGAGATCCTTGAAGTCTGTTTTAAAGGCTGGACTCTTGAGGAGACAGGGAGCCTTGGGGGAGTTTGGAGGAGAGGAGAGAAATACCAGACTTGTCTTTTAGAAAGAGCACTGGCTGAAGTGGTGGCCATAGCTCAGCGGTAGAGCACATGCTTAGCAGGCAAGAGGTCCTAAGTACAATCCCCAGTACCTCCATTTAAAAAACCAAAAAGCACTGGCTGCTCTGTAGACGAAGAGGGGAGCTGGGGGAGGGAGGGGAGCAGTTAGGAAGACTATTGCGGTAAACCAGGCAGTGGTTTCTAGTAGCTTGGGCACTTTTTAGTGTGGGAGGGAAGATGTACTCCGAAATTATTTTGAAGATAGAGCAGAAAGGATTTGCTGATGGATATAGGGTGCGAGAGAAAGACTGAAATTAAGGATGACTCCAAAGATTTTAATACACTGGAGTTGGCTGGAGGAGCAGATCTGGGAGGAGAAATTGGGAGTTTGGTTTTGATCTTGGTAAGTCTGAGATGCTTATGAGGTATCATTCAGATAAGCCGAGTCAGTGGTTGGATGTACGACTGAAGATCAGAGAGAGGTACAGGCTGGAGATACACATTTAGGAGCCATCAGAACGTGGGTGTTATTTAAAGCTATGCGGCTGTAGGAGATCACCTAGGAAGTAAATGTAGATCATGTTCAGAGGATCGAGCTCTGAGCCATTTCCAAGGTATAGAGGTCAGGGGAATGGGGAGGAACGTGCAAAAGACTTGAGTGGGAGCAGCCAGTGAAGCAGGAGCAGAACCAAGAGAAGAGCCCTAAAAGTCAAATGGAAAAGCATCTCATGAAGAGAGTTGTCGGCTGCCAAATAACGCGAAGAAGGGAAGGTGAAGACACCCAGTTTGTGCAGGTGCTGGGCATACAAAGATGAGCCCGATGCCAGGCAGGCACTTAGGAGGTGTTCACCATTTTTTTTTTGAAATGAAGAGAATCTTTTCTCCAAACAGCTCATAGCTGGAGTGAGAAGCCAGCATGAGGGAAGGCGTCTAACACAGCCATGTAACTTGTCTGGAGAGGTGAGGCTCCTTCAGCTGAGTCTTCAGTGGCTGAGAAGGAACTCAAGCAGGTTTCTGTATGCAGTTCTCTCTGTTCTGGATTTTCAGTCCCCTCCTCTCCACCTTCCCTAGCAAGCAGCCAAGCACACATGAGAAGTTAAGACAGAAATAAGAGGAAGCAGCTGAGTGTCCCCTCTGACCAAAGAAGAGGGCTAAGGAGTGAGAAAAGGCCTGGGAAAAGAGAGACTGGGATAGCTACCTTTAAAAGCAGTTGAAAATTCGTTCCAAATTTAGTAAATTCCCAATGGTCTGAAGAACTTGGTTTTCCGAAGAAAAACGTTATAATGCACATATGGCCACAAGGGGTCTCCCTTTCCCTGAAATGCACTGGTTTAAAGAGAGGCAAAAAAGAGACGGCTGGTCCAGTACCAAATTTGGCAAAGAATTTGCTTAAACTTTTAGGAAATCAAGCTGTCTCTTTAGCAATAATATAGTTACCAGTTTAAAAAGGAAGAAAGTACAGGGTAATTTTGAGGGAATAAACACATATTGGGAAGAGTAAGGACTACTCCTATGTCAAGGTACTTAAAGGTTAGGGGGTGATTTTTCCCTCTTTGGTGAGTATTTTATTAAACATGATGGTTTGAAAAACATCTCATCATCTGAGGATAATAGTAATAATAGCTAACATGTATTAGGTGTTTAGTGTGTTCTGAAACTTTTTACAGCATTAACTCATGTAATCCTTACCCAGCTATGTAAGGTAGATATTATTAGCCTTAATACTAAGGAGCCTTAGAGATAGGTACTTATACAGATGAAGAATTTATGGTTTAAGGAAATTAACAATTGGCCCCAGGTCACACAGCTTGTGCAGGGCAGAACTGAGATTTGAACACAAATCTAATTCCACAAGTCTCTACCCTACACAGCCAATGGTAAGTAAGTGGATTCACTAATTTGTATATTATTAAGAAATGGTTTCTTAGATAAATGACAGGTTTCTTCTGTATAGCCCAGGGAACTATATTCAATACCTTGTATTAACCTATAATGAAAAAGAATACGAAAATAAATATATGTGTGTGTATATATATATATATATGACAGAAAAATGATGCTGTACACCAGAAATGGACACAACATTGTAAACTGACTATACTTCAATCAAAAAAGAATTCTAGCTACTAAAAAAAGATGCCCCCCCCGCCAAGAAAAAGAAACAGTGTCTTAATTTGAAAATAAACACTGGTTCTTCACTAGGAATGAGAGAGTCAGATTTGTCTGAGGAGATTTTAAAAAGAATGCAAGTGACCAGAACTTCTCCCAGGACAATCTAATTCAGTAGGTTGGGGATGGGGTGAATCTGTTCACGTTTTTCAATTCCATAGGGGGTTCTTATGTGTACCCACCCTTGGAAGGGAACCACGAAGGGAGCTGTACGGATGAACAGTGGCTACACTTATGTAGGAGGGACAGCTTGCTAGAACACGGTAGCCACCCAGCCTTAGAACAGGATTATGGTGATTTGCCCAGCATTTAACTACAAAGGGCATTGAACTCAATCTCCTCTGGCTTCCAGCTTGAGCTGCTCTTTCCTCTCCCCTTGAGAGAGGAGCTGGAAAGAAATGTGTGATTTTCCAAAGACCAGTCAGGAGTGGCAACGGCAGAACTCTCTGGAGGCAGCACTGAGGGGCGAATTGTGCAAGGAGGCTCTCAGTCCACTTGCTGGGTGGTGCCTCAAAACCCAGATGATATAGTCTTTATCCACTACTATTTGCTGCCTGTCAGCCTGGCAAACAGACAGTGATAGTGAGCTCAGAGGCTGCGTGTTTCTTCCCGGGGTGAAATGTGGGCACGAAAGAGCTTTCTAAGGCAGAGAAGCTGTGAAGATGAAGGAACCAAGTGGTAAGAACTGGGATCAGCTGAGACGAAGGGAGAGAGCCTTTTCTATCCATTTCTGAAATGAGAACACATTCATCTTCTGCAGTGACTTTAAGTGGCCTAAGTCATTACGGAATCTGGAGTCTGACAGATAAGTCTGAAGTCAGATAATAATGGTCTCATGTTCTCAAGTGCCTTCTGTGCTTTCCTTTTTTTTTTTTTGTGATTTCTATCCTCCTCTTCTCTCAACACACACACACACACACACATTAGACACACACACAAAGCTTCCTGTACTTGGTGGCTCCTACGTCTCCCAGAATTACTCTGTGCTCCTGTTAACCCTGGGCTCTGTTGGGATTTCCAGTCTTTAGCCTTGGCCACCACCTCTGTCATAGAGATTTATTTGTTCCTTTTGCTGGACTTTGGTGGGAACCTGCGCGCTGGTCAGTCCCTTTGCTCCTGACCCTGCCCCAAGAGCTTTCTGAAGTCTGGCCTCCCAGGCTTTTAGGACACCAGAGCAAAAGAGGGCTTTGAAAGGGAACTGTTTTTTGAAAATCATGATCCATGAGTGCTTTTGAGACGACCTCATTCCAATACAACCAGCAGGGCTGTCTCAGAGCTGGAGTGGGGAGGGCAGGCTCCCTGCCCTTCAGAAGAGATAGAAAAGGAGCGATCCATGATTGGTGCCTCTTGCACAGGGTTCTTCCCGGGGTTTTCCCAGGGTTGGGGGCGGGGAGGGAATTTGAGGTTGTTCTAGACTCAGATTCACTTTGTCTCCCTGACTCTGTTTCCAGAACCGCTCCTCTCTTCCTAAGCTCCATCTCTGCTTTCAAAAGCATATGCGAACCCATGCCCCGTTCCTTTCTTTTTAGGTCACCAGATTCCTTCATGGGGTTGGCAGCAGAGCTGTAGCCCCAGGTTCTGTCGGGGCATGTGAGTGGTGGGGGTGCTGAGGTTTGCCAACATCTATGCTCCAGGGGCTTTTAAGTGTTCCAGGACTGGGCGTTCTGCTGGTCTTCCTCTCCCCTCCCTGCCCGCAGACTCAGGGGACCAAGGTGGAAGGGAGGTCTTATCCAAGAGAAGAAAAGCCACCACATCGCCCCAGCTGCCCACACTGAGTTCTCAGCTTCCCTTCCTCATCCCTCCGGCCACTCCCCGAGTCTGAAGCACCAGCCCCGCTTGAAACACCCCTCCCGTTTTGAAGGAGGCTGGGCTGGCCAGGGGGTTATTTTGGGAGCAGCTTCTGAGATCCGATGGCCTTGTTAGGACAACACTGACCTTTCCATCCCAGGAGGAGGGCAGGATTGGAGAGGGGCGGGGCGGGGGCGGGTGATCACAGCCCCGCACACCCATGGGGGTGGAGGAGAAGGGGGCCAGCCGGCGGCAGGAATTCAGCCTCGGGCTGGGGGCTGTCAGCAAGGGGGATTTCTCCTCCATGAAAAAGAACTGGGGACCTTGCCACCCCACCCTTTTCGCTGGGCTTCTTAAAGGGATCACATCGGTTTTCCTTTGATTCCATGGAAGCCAGGTTTGGGACACTCCGTGGAGACTTTGAACCTTTCCTTCCTGCTGCCTTCCCAGCTGGCAGCCTTCCTCTGGCTGAGTGAGAGGGGGCCTCCCAGGCATGGCACTGACCAACCTACCCAGTGCTGACTTGGCTCCTGGGTTCCTTCGGCCTTGGGTGGCATCTGGCTTACCCCCTCCTGGGGCGCGGCGGTGGTGAGTCCAGGGGCCCAGCCCTGAGCTGCTTGGAGAGAGTCGCTGGCACCCACCATCGGCCTCTCCCCCAAGCTGGAGGACGGTGAGGTGGTCAGGGCTACGATGAGATGAGTGGGGGCCGCTTTGACTTTGATGATGGCGGGGCGTACTGTGGGGGCTGGGAGGGGGGGAAGGCCCACGGGCACGGACTGTGCACGGGCCCCAAGGGCCAGGGCGAATACTCGGGCTCCTGGAACTTTGGCTTTGAAGTGGCGGGCGTCTACACCTGGCCCAGTGGAAACACCTTCGAGGGATACTGGAGTCAGGGCAAACGGCACGGGCTGGGCATAGAGACCAAGGGACGCTGGCTCTACAAGGGCGAGTGGACGCACGGCTTCAAGGGACGCTACGGAACCCGGCAGAGCAGCAGCAGCGGTGCCAAGTACGAGGGCACCTGGAATAACGGCCTGCAGGACGGCTACGGCACCGAAACCTATGCAGATGGAGGTGAGCCCAGCTTGGGGCTGGCAGACTTGGGGCAGGGGCCAGGTGGGCTGAAGAGGCCTGGGGAGGGTGGGGAGAGCCTGGGGATGTACCACACAGGATCAGAGGATCCAGGATGTTATTTGCTGTGTGGCACTGGGCAAGTGGCTCTACCTCTCTCTGCATCCATTTCCTGGTCTGTAAAGTTGGGGCCAGTAACGGGGTTCTGGAGAGGACTGGCAGGAGTGCTTAGCACAAGACCTGCCATCGAAATACACATTCAACACACATTCAATAAGACGCTGCTGCTACTGTTGCATGCTGGGTGTACAAACAGCTGTGGAATATATTCTAAAAGTACTAGGGTTTAATGTCAACTTTGCCATGAAATATTTCAATCAATAGATCATGAAGTGTTCATTCATTCATTCATCCATCTATCCCCTGACCTAACTCATCCACCCATTCATCCACCCACCCATGTATCTACCCATCCACCCATCCACCCATCCACCCATCCACTCACCCATCCACCCATCCATCCATCTATCTATCCATGCATCTTTTTGTTCAGTGCACATTTCTGTAGTACTGCCTATTAACCAGGCACTGTAAAAAAGTTAGGTATAAAGAGGAATAAGATACAGCCCATGGGTTAAAAGATACGTTTTACACACATTATTATACACAAGTATTCACAGAGTGCCATGGCAGAAAAAAAGAAGCTAGATTTGAGGAAGTCAGGGGATGCTTTAGAGGAGGTGACATCCGAGCTGAATCTTGATGGGAAATCTGTTTGTGAGGCGTATAGAGAGTGGCCTTGGGTGCAGGATGGGCTACCAATTGGTGGATGTCTGGCAAGGGCCCGTTCAGCCTGTACTCTTGGAGTTTCTGTGGTACAATGACAGCTACGCAGCCCTGGCTGGAATTGGACAAAATCTGGCTCCATGTTTCCTGATTCAGTGACTTTGAGCTGTTTGCTGAGTCTCTGCAATTCAGTGCAGTTCAATTCACCAGGTGTTTATGCTGGACACTGCACTAAGCTCTGGTACAAGCAGAGAGCAAGCCTCAGTTTCTCCAGTTACGAATTAAGATAGTGCTTCATTGAGTGCTTGCTAGGCATCAGTTACCTCTGCAAAGCGGGACACAGTACGCATGTGCTGAAAGTTCCTTCCCTTCCCTCTTCCCTTTCCAAACCAAGGTGTGTGTGCTGGAGGCCTGGATGTGAGTCACAGGGACACACTTTTCTGGGAAGCTGCAGGCGGATGTCCCAGCATGTCTAAAATGGGGGAAACCCATTCATTCACTCACGTGACCAATATCACAGAGCACCAACTATGTGTCAGGCGCCATCCCACAGCAAGTTCTAGGGCCAGGGCGGTGAGCAAGCAAAGTCACAGAGAGTTCCCTGTCTAGTGAAGAAGACAGAAATAAACCAGAAAACAAACATAGATGTAATTTCCAGAAGTAACTAGTGTTATGAAAAATACAGCAGACAAGGAAGACAGTGATGTTTTGGGGTAGAGTGGTCCGAGAAGTCGGGTGGAGAAGCCTGGAGAGGAAGGAAAGACCCCAGGCAGAGGGGATGAAGATTGCAAAGTCTCCGAGGCAGGACTGGGCTTGGCACGTCTGAGAAAGAGCAAGAACGCCAGGGTGGTGGTGCAGAGTGAACAGGGCACCAGGCAGGGGCTGATGCTGGAGTTGTGGGCGTGCGCCAGCTCACGTTAGGTTTGCGGGGCCCTAGGTTTTATCCTAAGTGTGTCCAGGGGCTGTTCAGGCCAGGTAATCGGAAGAGCTGCCCCTCCGGTCTGTCAGAGGCCCAGACTCTTCCCCCCAAATGAGACAGCCCCACATCCAGGGGGCTTGGAAACCTCACAGGTCCTCGCTCCCAAGTGCAACTCTCCAAAATTAGATGTGGCTACTGCTTTGGAAAATCTCTTTAATCAACCTGTCATCAGCTCCCTGAGGGTTTGTTAAGGACCTGCCCTTTGCCCCGTCCTGGGAAGTACTAGGGGGATGTGGGCACAGAAGATCCTGTGATTAGGAATGGTTTCGAGTCCGGCAGCCCTGGATTAGTGCCCTGCCCCTGTTGTATTAGTTAGTTTCTCGGGGCTTTAGGTTCCTTATCATACTAATCTCTCCTAAGATTTCTCCTGGGATAAATATGTCGTTGCTGTTACTACTATTAACTATCATTACTTCATTCAATAAATATTTATTGAGTGATTATTAGTAAGCCAACACTATACTATATGGCGGGGGTGAGGGGGTGGGCTGCGGGGAAGGAAAGTATAGAAATGAACAGGATGGAAAAAGTCTCTGCTTTCCAGAGAACTTGACAAGAAACTGTGTTGGGTGCCAAGTAGGGACATGCCAGGGAGTCAGGGAGCAAGAAGCGGGCAGCTGACCAGACTCAGGCATTCAGAGAGGCCGCCTGGAGTAAGTGGCAAGCTGGGCTCTGGAGTATGGAGTGAACCAGGGGACAGGGGTGGGTGAAGGACGCATGCTCTGGATCGAAAGAACAGAGTGTACAAAGACACTGAGGTCCAAAGCTTGCCGTCCAGCAGGGATCAAGCTGAAATTTGCATCTTATCCCCAGCTTTGAGAAGTACTGACTTCAAAGCAATGATATGTCTGTCCCCTTTCGTCCACTCTCCATCTAACTTTGCAGTCCAGTGTCACAGGTATCTGCCTGCTCCAAACCAAAGAGTAGATTTCCAAAGTGGAGGTGTCCACCCATTAAAAGTTGGCAAAATCAATTTAGTGGGTCATGACCTGCATTTTTTTAAATGGAAGAATAGAACAGAACAAAATAGAAAATATCAGAGTGTTTCATAGAGAATGAGATAAAGTACTATTTTCTGAAATGTTTTCTCAGTTGGAGACATATGTATATAAATACACATCTGGATATATGTATCTATATAGTGTGTGTATTAAAACATCTGTGTTTTTGTGTGTGTGATGATTCAAATACATTTTTTTACTGCAGGTCATGGTCAGAAAGGTTTGAATATCACTGTTTTACAGTGACTTGACCCGGCATCTTCATGGAAGCCCCTGCCCTTCCTAAGTCCACAGAAGACCCTCTCTCACCTTCATGCTTGTAGCTTTGGCTGGAAGTTAAGCGCCAGTTCTCTGGTGAGAAGGGGAAGGTGGTCTAGGCCAAGAAGCCCCAGCCTCCCAAACCCTGCACTCAGCCTCCTGGCACCCCTCCCCCGCCTATAGCCCAGCATTCCTCCCCTGGCCATATATAGCCAAGCTAAAAATAGCTGCTGACTTGAAGCCCAAAGCCAGCACACACCCACCCTTAGGTAGTAATGCGCTGCGTGGCTGCCTGGCGGTCCCCATCCCAGAGACCCCCAGACTCCAGGACTGGAAAGGCCACTAGCGATCTTCGCTTTCCGAGCATCTTGACCGGGGGCCCCAGCCTTGGCCTCAGAGGCCCGTAAGTGGCCTGAAACTGCAGGCAAGACGTGTGCATATGTGCGTGGACTATGTGTGTTTTCCTGGGAGGTGTTTCCTCAAAGAGCCATTCACTTCGCAGAGTAATCTAGTGCTCAGATAAGTTCCAGAATCAAGACTCTAGTTCAGTAAGCCCCTCCCTAAAATGTGCAGTGGGAAAAACCAAGCCCAAGGTTGACTTTTTCTCACAAATAATGATAACAGTAATTAACGTTTTTGGAGCACGGATAACGTGCCAGGTGCTGTTCTTGTCACGTGGCCCACGCTGTGTGACTGAAACTTACCACAACCTCACAGGAAGTACTGTTCCTACCCCTATTTTACAGAGGAGGAAACTGAGATGAATAATTCAAGTGGCCTTTCTTCTGCTCCTCCAGCTGATAAGAGGCCGGGAAAGAATTTGATAATCTTCAGTGATAATTAAATGTATTATAAATAAGTATTGTAATCAATGACAAATGATACAAAGTAATCAAGACTGGCAACATAATTTGGTAAAATTACGAAACTGCCCACGAACCGGTCTTGACAATAGTAATGACTGTCTCCACCACTTACGGAGTCTTGCTAGTCTTTACCAGCCTCTGTGCTAAGAACGGTACATGCGTTGTATTATTTAAGCTTCTTAACCACTCTCTCATCTACTACACTCATGACTTTCAAACTTTTTTGATTACAACCCACTGTAAGATACATACTTCACATGTAATTCTGTGCACACACACACACATGTAAACCTGAAACAAGTCATCACCAAACACTATTCCTCTTCCTGTATGCTGTGCTTGCTATGTTCTCTTTCATGCGATCTTGCTGATAGAATTGTTCTATCTGGTTGATATCTGGTTGAGAGAATTAAACAATGCCCTGATAGGTGCAACGTACTTGGAACAGAGTTAGGCATGTGGCTAGTGTTGTTGTTGTTATTATTTTTATTACTATTATTATTATTACATGCTGAAAAGATGGTATTTTTCTGTTTCACTAGGACAATGGGGTCAAAGCCCCAAGCTTCTATGCCTTGGATACAGTTTTCTTTCTCCTGCCCCAAGTTGATGACTTAAGCTCATTTTAGCCCAGTTGACTCTGAAACACATGAGCTAAATGGATTTGCCAGGCTAGAGGCCTGAGTAATACCTGTTGTCACATTATCTGGGCCTGTAATATATGTTCCTTGAAGCAACTTAACCTCCATCTTTCTTTGTGTATTTGCTTCCCAAAGGAATAGCATTTCTAGTGATCTATATGTCTATCTTTGTGCCAATATCACACTGCCTTGGTTACAGGAGCTTTAAAACAAGTTTTAAAATCGGAGTAAATCCTTCAGCTTTGCTCTTCTTGTCCAAGACTCTTTGGGTTATTCTAGATCATTTCCGTTTCTATATACATTATAAAATCAGCTTGTCAACTTCCACGAAAAAAAGCCTGATGGGAATTTGATTAAAATTGCATTTCCTCTTTACATCTATTTGGAGAGAATGGACATCTGAATAGCAGTGAACCCTCCAATCCATGGACATGGTATACATCCCTATTTATTTAGGTCGTCTTTAATTCGC